ACCCTCTGGAGGAGTACACAGATGAGCAAATTTGGGAGGTTTGTTCATTTCCTTGCACCAGTCAAAAATTACATATGAGCAGATTTATCGATGATGTTAGCTAACGAGGTTTCTGCAAATTTTAGGCCCTGCATAAGTGCCAACTCGCGGAGGAGGTCCGGAAGAAGGAAGGAAAATTAGATTCTACTGGTAAATTTTTATTCCCTTTTCCTCTTGTGACTGTTCTTTTGTGGTTCTCCTAGATGCACTTATAGGAAGAAGCATTTTAACTTAATTCCTGGAAGTTTAACTGATCATGTAGTTTGCAATATCCTTTACATCGTACATCTATCAATCTTTAGATTATCAATTTTTCATAGCTTTTATCGATATTTGTTATTATGCAGTTACTGAGAATGGAGAGAACTGGAGCATGGGTCAGAGGCAGCTCGTGTGTCTTGGGCGCGTGCTGCTCAAGAAAAGCAAGGTCTTAGTGCTTGATGAAGCTACCGCATCCGTCGACACGGCTACTGATAATCTGATTCAGCAAACTCTGAGGCAGCACTTTGCTGACTGCACAGTTATAACTATCGCGCATCGTATCACTTCGGTTCTTGATAGCGACATGGTTCTTGTTTTAGATCATGGTCAGTATCTTTTAACAATTTCTCCTTGCTCTTGCTGTTGCATTCTGCATTAATCTTCTCTTCAAGTGAAATAATACGGGCTCTCTTGATCCCCCTGTGCAGGACTGGTGGAAGAATACGATTCTCCGAAGAGACTACTGGACAACAAGTCGTCGTCCTTTGCGCAACTGGTGGCGGAATACACGATGAGGTCGAATTCCACTTACGGGAATTAAACTAGAACGCGGTGTGATCGCACTGGAATAGTTCCCCTGATGATGATGAAAAGTGTGACTGGCCTTCTACGTCATCTGTCATGTTCTTGTTGTATTATAGGCAAGTTAAACCAAGTCATTCTTGATCGGTTACTGTAGTTTATGAGGCTAATATAAGAGAACAGGCATAAATTCAAGCCTGAGGAAGGGTCTGTAAGTTGAACTATTGCAAAATCACATCCTTGGAATGAATTACTCAATTGTTGTCGTGCATGTGATCTTAAATGTACTTTGATCGCGGACTGTCGGATTGCTTAGAAAAAAACTCATCAATGCACTTGATGTACTTTGATGGAACCAGCATTCAATAAATCATCTCCTTGGTGTTTTGCCTCTGTTTTCATGGGTAACATCATTAGTTGACCAGTCTTGGAATGAGCTGGATTCTTGTTCGACCACCCACCAGGCATCGTCGGCAATGCTACAAGATTAGTCGTTGATGGAGGAAGAGAACCGTCTCTTCGAGAATAAGATTATAAAATTTCTTCATTTAGTTACGGACTATCGGGACGGATCCGCAAAGTGCTCGGAAATCTTGTGCATTTGAACCTCGACCTTTTCCATAATAGATAGATGCACTGGTCACTTCATGCAGCCAAACTACTAGGTCTTCCGTGGAACAAAGCATCCTAGAGTTTGAAAAGTTCTCCCAGTCCTCAAGCTTTCCCAGCCACTTAATCTAGGCAACTGATCAGAGTGCCTGCTCAAAATGCCGGCACACTTGCAACTTTGACCAAGTTGCCTTTATTTCTTGTTTTCTAGAAAGATTGATGTACATGACCTCTCCGGAAAATAGTAATGTGTCCCGTCCTGCTGTTGTTTCGTCATTCGATCATCTCTAAATGAACATTATTATGACCAAAGGAATTTGATAACTTCTACCATAATGCCAACACTGAGAAAAATACAAGTGAACAGAGTGCTATAAACAGCACTGCTGCTTCGGCGCTATCATCTTTATGTATACAAGTAATGAAAGGTAACAGTGACACCTTATAAAATTCTAACCCTATCAGAAGATAAAAACCCACCATTTAATAAATAGTTTGATTGGCCAACATTAAGTGAAATTCTTCTACTATCGACTGGACTTCTCCAACAGTTTCTTAAGTCTGCTCATTCAGGGTTCCCATCGAATAGCTATCTCTCGTAAAGAGCAAAAATCTAACAAAGGAGCAAGCTCAATGAGTAACGCGTTTCCGACTCTCAAATAATAGAATTGAGAGTACTGTCTATCTTTGCTTACAAGCATCATTCCTGCCACGAAAAGCAGATATTTTTCTTGTAAGGACTGAAACAGACATTTCACTCCAGATTTTAAAGAATGCTCTGCTTTACAAGATTCTAACTTCTAAGACTTCAAATTAGAATTTGGAGCCATGATGTTATTACTGTTTCAACACTTCATGATGCATACATGGGCAACAGAACTTGCTGATTGACTCATTGAACCTCAAAATCAGAAATAATTGAACTCATGCTTTTAGGATATTAAACCTGAAGGCATGGGATAAAATAAACAGTGTCGCTACCTAAATTTCTCAGACTAATGAATTATTAAGACTAAGCCTAACTCGGGCCCTCTTAAGCCCTACCAATTCGCAACTAAGGGTTTAAGTTTTTAACATGCAAAAGTTTTCATGCTTGGAGTCGCCACTAATCTATTTGTGATAGGTCGATTGGAAATCTAAATAAAACATAGGGAGATATGTTTTATTCCTACGAACCAGAGATTCTAAGCTCGGGGACTTGATTACGCTAGATCTAGTCTGACGCCCTTTCGGTACCTTTTCTTTTCAAAAAATGTCTATGCAAGCAGTCTGAATCCATTTTATTACCTAATCACTAACATGTGAGGTGTTTATGCGGGTGCGCAAACCACCAATTTAACATTCAAGAAAACAATAAATAAATTGCAAGATTAGGAGAATGGCGTACCTTAGAGCAACGCAAGCATCTGCATTGCTAGTAAAAAATCACACAGACAATCCTAATATGATTTCTAATTAACAAAGCAAGGCACTCAAGATATTCTTTAGGGTTTGCGCTTTATTAAAATGCAAACTAACATATATGCAATGACGTGCAAAAAATGACATGCGATTAATGCAACCTAGCATGCGAACTATATGTCATGCGATGACATGACCTAATTCTAATGACGGACAAATGATTTATTTTTGGTATTTTTCCAATGAAATTCGAAATAAAAAAATGTCTAAATTAAGATGCAATCTATCTTAATCTGTCCTAAAGTAACTCATTCTTTTTGGGATTTTCATGGAAATTCGAAATCTAAAAATAACCTAAATAATCTATTAGGATTAGAATAACACCTAATTTAAACTAGGAAACAAATTATCTCAAGTCCTAATTTAAATTAAATAATTATCCTATCTTCTAGATACATTTAGGGTTCCCTAAACATGCAAAACTTCTAATTTAAATCATAACTAACATATTTTTTATTTTCTTTATTAAAAAAAAAAAGAGCAATCAAACAAATATAACAACCGCATTCAATAATCCACGCAATTCGCAAGATTCTTCTTATGAAAATTTGAATTAGGAAAAGAAATCAAACTAACGGTCATATCTATAGGATTATAGATATCGACGGAAAGCTGATTGTTTGAGTTTGGAAAGCGAATAAAATTTATTATCATATCCAAGTGATTATGGATAAGATAACGATTTTCCGTATAGCCATGTATCGTACCTTAGAGATAAGGTCGGATAGTCGTCCAGATACGTTGCCAAATTAGAAAAAATTCCTAATTTAGGGTATCTTAGAATATTGCGGATATCGCAAATATTATCCTAAGGTATCTAATCAATCACACAATATTCACGGAATATTCAAAATATTCAAACTAAGAACTTAAATATTTTGAAAATATACCGGATAGAGATTTTTACCTGATTTGCGGATTACTTTCCAAATTTGAATCACCAGCGGATCGGGATCGCGGAATGGCCAATGGCGGGTGACCGACGGCAGCTCAGGGGCAGCTCGGATTGTGGTGGCTAATGGTGGTGGCGCCGCCAGTGCTGGATGGCTTGGAAAGAAGCTGATTTGATTCAGCGAGCACGGCAAGAAAGTCAAGAGCTCGTTGGATCGCTACCGGAAATTCGCTGCGTGTGGACGTTGCTGTGGTATTCAAAGGAGGACCTCCAGGAGTCGTCCAAATTGATTGAGACACGCCAGACCGGGACTGTGACGGTGCTATGGTGGCTGGCAACGAGCACTAGTTCGGCTGGATCGCTGTGCTGAACGTCGGAGAGGATGAGCTCGCTGAGAATCTGCAGAAAATCGTCTAGAATTACTGGAAACTGCTCGGGATCACTGGCTACTATCTCTGGTTACTCGCTGATTAGTGGAGCAGCGTCTCAGACGTGAAGGGCTGAGGAAGGGACAACTCCGGATGTTGGAGGCGCGGAGGTGCCGAGTGGGACGTGATATCATCCGCAGGAAATAAAGCAACAATTGTTCATGAGGTGGAGTCAACACATGGCAGTCAAGGGAGAGCTTCTTTGAATGTGTCCCATGTCTTCTTCTCTATGGCCGTGCTTCTCCGAATGTGTCCCTCTCTTCACGATTTTCTTTTTCTCTCAATGGTGGCCGTGGATGTCTGTGTTGTGGCTGTGTATTCAATGTTGTGTGTCCTCTCTCCGAGAGAATCCTCAATGAATGTATTTATAGGCAAAGCTTAGGTTTTTTGCTTGCAATTATTTCCTATTTTGATTCAAAGAAAATATTGCAATATCTCCGTGATAATGTCAATTCATTCAATGATAATATCAAGATTAACAAATCAATATTTTCCAACTCGACAATTTCCAATGAAAATTTTAGCTCTTATAATGTTCATGGGCTTGGTCAAGAATTTTCTTGAACGTGGGCTTAGTCCAATTTCGTTAAGTTTAGAGCCGTTCACTCGAGTCCATCCACCGCCGGTCCGATAAATATCCAAACTATATAGGCCTAATTAACTATTAATGAAAATGCTCCTAAAAACTATATGCTGTGCAATTTTAATATTTTTGTTTAGGGGTTAAAATTTAATCCCTAATTTTCTATGCAAATTAACATTAAATGGTCGGTCGAAATTTAGGTGTCAACAAACAATACGCAAGAAACCATATGTAGGGAAAGCAGTACAGAGTCACTTTCAACAGTAGCCTTATTGATCTGCATCTTCAAGAAACTCAAAAAGTCATGCTGTATACAGATTCGACAAAATCACAGAGCTTCCTCTTATGAGACGCTCACAAACTTCTCCAATAAAATTTCTCCAATATTCTCAAAATGTACGGGAAGTGATTGCTCCTTCCCATCTTGTTCTGCGGATTGCAACCAAGCATAGCAAAGCTGATCATTGCAGACAAAACATTGCTCATTTTATAAACTCCTCCGCTCCTCGCCTCAAAATCTCCATCCAAACAGAGAAGCAAATAGATCCTCAAATACATTGGTAAGAAGGAAGAACCTATTCCCACAAAAAATTGACAATAAAAAAAGGAAAAAAAAGCAACCAATACATCTAGTATGGTAAAATTCAAGAAACCACAAGATTTATTGATAAGTTGGAGCTCAGCTAGGGGAGAAAAAGAATTAGCAACCTTATAACTACAGGAACACAGTAATTTAAGTGCAGAGTCTAAGCTTGCTTCAGCTAAGCGCAGGAAACAAAGGTAACAACACTAAAATCAGAGCACTGAAGCAGAAAATGTCTTCTTTCAAGGATTGGAGTAGAAAAACAAAAGTAAGATCAGAAATTCATTAATGTCTTCTTTCAAGGATAGAAGGGCATTTGACGTATGATAATAGTGCCTTCAGCCAAACTAAACAAGGATATTCATAGTTGAAACTAGAAATTCAGCGAACAAAACATATTTGGATCAGATCGATTTAGTTCAAAAGTACATCAAGGTAACCATTGACTTCTCTACGCAATGAAAAAGGCAAACCTTGATGCGCACCAAGTATTGTCTCCCTAGGTTATGTGTCCCATCAATGAAATGGTTAAAAGTCAACCGACCTCCCAATTACTAGATGTATATTGGGCATGCGACAGAGATTGAAAGCTTGATATTGAATACAACACAAATCCTAAAAAAGGAATCCTTGACAAACTCAGTTTGCTATTTAACATTTTATCATCAGTAATCCAGTTCGCTTGCTAAGGATTAGATTCCAAAAAGCTGATACACATCCATCATCACCAACAAAAGAATAACAAATTCATCGAGGCAACTCCACATGCACTCAGCAAACAATTAAATAAACAGCAAAGTAAGTTTCTAATGTACCAAAGAAGACCGCCAATGGAAAATTTAAGTGTACCTGAGATGAAACATCTTCCTTCAACATCCTCAAAATCTTAAGCTATGTGGTAGACGGCTACACCAAGCCCTGATGGTCGCGCTAAATGTACTATATAATCATCCCACAGTAGAGGCGTTTGGTAACATGCATTTGAGCAGTAGTGACAGAAATCCGAATAAATGTAGCAGGAGATTCTGCAGAACATCTTCCATGGCCAACTACTAATTTATGGTTCTACTGACGATGGCAAAAATTTGGTTTTCATCGTTCAATAACTGAAAGAAGAAATGGCATTGTTTGGAAAGAGCGAGCATATGGTTGGACTACTCTCTCCTTTGCATAGCTAAAGTACATAAGTAAACCATCAATAATTTCTCCCAATCAAACCTCTTATGAACAGAATTTGAGGAAATGAAAACACCATAAACGAATAGCTTAACGAAGCTTCAACATTTTTTTTAGAAAAAAAGAGAGATGTCGTCAGATGAATGAAGAATCAAGTCTCAACAGAATCCTCACACAAATTACCAGCCCTATTCAGAACCTCGATAAAAGGACGGAATAAAGCCACAATCATCATGCCATTTTTTCCCGTAACGCTTAATAACCGTAGTTGTCAAATAAAGATACGTGTTTATGCTCTTGAATCAAGAATCGAGAATTGATTCAAGTTGAATCATAAAATTTGGCGAAATAACGGTATTTTTGTGTCACAAAATACCTAACTTTATTATAAAGTATCATAAAGAATAAAATTTTGAGCAAAATCCATATTCCACGGCAAAAATATCTTGATTTCCAGTTAATTTTACGATCTCTATAAATATATGTGTACCCTTTATCTTATTAACATACGGATTACACTTTTACATAAAGACATTTCATTTAAGAATGGATTGCGAAGTACATAATAGTTTTACTTGCTATGTAATCATCAAAGTATGAAACACATCATAAATAAGACAAGAAATAATTGATCCATTGAATCAATGGGTAGGTATTGGATCCTATATCCGCAATTGGTGAATCGATATATTCGCTTGTACTTCATTAGATTATAGATTCATCTAATAGATGCATATCATTTAGATCTTAAATCAATTTGAAACGTCGACCAATTCTGATAACTACTTTTAAACAGATACAATTCCTTTCTTGATAAGAATCCTCAGGACAACAAATATTAGGAATTATGTGCTTCTCTAAGCTCCTTGCTACAATTCTGGGATCAGTAGCTATCACCAGATGAGGTCAGAGTAGGCAAAGATTACAGAGAGCAAATAATTGATTTTGGGCAAAAGGGTTTTCTCAAGACTCCAGAACAAACAATATCTTGAGAGGACCCTTTTGCCCAAAATCAACTATCCGTCGCATCTGACATACTTGGACACTTGAGAGAACCGGTTCAAGCGTGAACCCACGAGAAACTAACGAGGTAAGAAGCTGTAAAGGAGGGCTGTTGAGACTTGCTCGAGATGGATCTGGGAGAATCTGGGAGAATCTGGCGAAGGGCGTAAAGCGAAGATGCAAATTTTTGAGGTATTTGAGCAGTCTTTCACAAGAATTCTTACCTGAAGTTGAGGCTCTGGCGAAGGAATGAAACATGCAATGAAGTTTTTTTTGACTATGCACCGAGCAGCTAATAAATTGACATGAATATCCGACCTTTACTGAGAAAAATCTTCTTCAGACACCTGATCTTACCTCGAAGAAGATGTAGGTCGATGAGGCGTCTGGCTTGGTATTTATCTCTTTCTCTATATATTCATGTAGATTCATGTGACCCTAGTTTATGTCACGTTGATGCAGGTGAATCATCCGGTTGACGTGCCCCGTGTGATGACCTAGTGTCTCCGCTCATGTGGCGATGAGTCATATAAGGCACCAATTCACATGATGACGTGTAGCATCATCATCGTGTAGTGATGTGTCTTAAGCTCGTGATGTGACATGCATGCAGAATACTCAATCGATGTGTGAACATGTGCATTTAATTAGATATTTGGAATCTCATTGATGTACATGTAGCACATCGAATTTTACACATTAGGCTCGTTAGCTATCCGGCGTCTGATTCCTAAGATCTTCTCAAATTTTAGGTTCGGGAATTTCACGATATGAAACCGATTTGTTGCGGAAGCCAAGCGATCGAACAATAAAATTGACAGAACAAGAAAATAAATCGGACACAAGATTTAGGTGGTTCGGTCGTAGTGACCTACGTCCACAGGGAGAACAGCACAGAATTCCACTATAGATCAAGCGATACAACGGAGATTACAACCACACTCGAGTCACTCAAACACTCTCGGTATTTCCCAAACCCCAATTACACCCAATAGCTCACGCAGTGTTTAGCCCCACAATTCTTTACGAAATAATCTCTCAACCTCACGAAGGAATTACACACAAATCTTAACACAAGATTTTCGCGACTTGAACACTCGAATTCTTGGATGTAATTGCCGAAGAAAAACTTCACTGCACGAAGACCCGCATTGCCACAGCCACGGAACATCAAGCACTCACATTAGCGGCGCTTCAGAGAATCTTCTTGTGGCAACCATAACACACCCTCTGTTCCAACGAAAGAAAGGAAGAACAGCCCATATTTATTCGTGGGTCTACTCGGTCAACCTTTCCTCTTGGAACAGAAGTCCAACACGAAAAAGGAAACCTTTTGAAAAATACACTTTCCATTCTTGACCTTAACTAATATATATATTGGAGTTGCTTAGCTTTCTATGTCAACAAGAATGCTGAACTAGAAAGAGGAGTTCCAAGATTGGTAATAAATTATAAACCTTTAAATACAGCTTTAAAATGGATAAGATAGCCGATTCCTAATAAAAAGGATTTGTTGAATAGACTTCATGATGCAAAAATCTTTTCAAAATTTGATATGAAATCAAGCTTCTGGCAAATTCAAATTAGCGAAAAGGATAGGTACAAAATAGCTTTAACTGTTCCTTTTGGCCAAAATGAATGGAATGTCATGCCTTTTGGATTAAAAAATGCCCCTTCTGAATTCCAAAGGATAATGAACGATATTTTTAATTCTTGTTCTGATTACATCATAGTTTACATAGATGATATTTTAATATTTTCTACATCCATAGAAAAACATTTTAAACATATCAATCATTTTATCAACATTGTGAAAAAGAATGGTTTAGTAGTTTCACCTACTAAAATATCCCTTTTCAAAACAAGGATACGCTTCCTAGGACATTACATTCATCTAGGAACCATCATACCCATTGAACGATCGATAGTATTTTCTAAAAAATTTCCTGATGAAATCAGGGACAAAAATCAATTGCAAAGATTTCTTGAAAGTCTGAATTACATTATCGAATTCTTTCCTCGTATCAACATTATTTGCGAACCACTCCATCAGAGGCTCAAAAAAGATCCTCCACCATGGACTCAGGTCCACACTGATATTGTGAAACAAATCAAACAAACTGTCAAGGAAATTCCTTGTTTACATCTTGCTGATCCTTTTGCTTTTAAAATTGTTGAAACTAATGCTTCCGACATTGGTTATGGAGGAATTCTTAAACAATCCAAAGACAATAAAGAACAGATTGTTCAATTTGTCTCCAAACATTGAAACAATTGTCAAAAGAATTACTTTAGTATTAAAAAGGAAATTCTTGCTATTGTTCTTTCTATTTCAAAGTTTCAAGGAGAACTTTTAAATCAAAAATTTTTGCTAAGAATTGATTGCAAATTTGCAAAAGATGTTTTGCAGAAAGATGTTCAAAATATTGCTTCTAAACAAATCTTTGCTAGATGGCAAGCGATTTTATCTGTTTTTGATTTTGATATAGAATTCATAAATGGTTCTTCGAACTCTCTCCCAGATTTTCTCACAAGAGAATTTTTACAGGGAAAATGCCTCCCAAATCCAACAAACCCACCAGAAGAGACAAAGGCAAAGAAGTCGCAAAACCTTCTTCAGAGAAAAAATCCTCCGGGTTAACCAACATCAAGACCTGGCTCCAGGCTACCCAGCCATCATTAAATATTACTACCATTTCTAATCTAGTCAAGAAAGAACCCATTCCTCTTACAGAAAATCCTTCTGATTTCAATAAACTCTCACAATATAACATAACCAAGTTATCTCAAGAAGAAGCTTTGCAGCTTCTTCAACAAGCTTTCAAAAACCAACCTCAATCTTTAATAACTATGGTAAGTCCCGACCCTTCTCCTATAGCTACTCAAAGCACAATGGGAAAAAGAATTTCTAGTGAGGTGGTCATTCAGCCCACTCTAGCAACCCCTCCAAAATCAAAATTTTTCCATAAATCAATATTCCAGAACGTTTGTAATGTTGAAAATGGATTTTATAATGAGGACCCTTACCTCTTTGCAAAGAACATGTTTTCTGAAAAATTTCAATTATACTCCATATGATATTTATAAAACCATGGAATTTTATGAAAAGATTTTAACAGAAACAAAATCTGTGACCTTCCGTCACTTTTCTGATAAAGGCCACACCAATTATTCCACAGCCAGAATTCATAAGGTCATTCACCCTTCTCAGTGGAAACCCAATCCCTTGGCCTTGAAAAAATTTGATATCAAGATGTCTGAATTCTTACCATACAGAACATCTTTTTCATATTTTGACTACCAACAAGCTTGGTGGAACACTTTTTGGAGAAGAAATGCCAATAACTCTCATACTTGGCTATTTTTCTTCGAAGGATTTGATATCAAATTAGTTCCATATTGGTTCATTAGATGGTGGGAACATTTGGGACCCATTGACGAAATTATCCACCCAAAGATCCAACCTAGTTATGAACTTTTCCTTGAAAAATTTACTCCACTTCCATATGAGAAAAACTTTCCCAAACTGATGCTCTTTTTCTATTATTTTGGAGTATCTTGGGTTCTTGGATGGCATTTTGATTATATAAAAGCCATTGAAACTGGCATTCCCATTCTCATAAGACGATTCAAAGTCAAATGATGGGATGGCTTTAAATTCTTTGATAGAGTTACCAAACAAGCCGTCTCAGAATGGCTAATTTCTAGAGGCTCTAACCCAATTAGTTCTGATGATATCACCCCCTTCCTCCATGATAAAGGGTTCGTACTTTCTAAATTAGCATCTGCTAAATCCCATCAACAGTTAGCAAGAATGCTAAAACAAGCCATTTCTCAACTTGAAGAAACTGGTTCTTCTCAATCACATCACAGCGGAAATTCCAATGAGGATGACTGTTATGGCATTCCAGGAATACCTCCCATTCCCGCTAATTAGGGGGATGTAAAGGATGAAGAAGAAGAAGAAGAAGAAGAGCTACCAGAAGATCTCTCAAGATTCTGAAAAAGGCACCGAAAGACTCCTGCTCTTTTCATAATTTGTCATAATTTTTAGACCGAAAGGAGTCTGTCTGTCCTTTTACTTTTCTTTTCATAAGCTTTCATAATTGTGTCTGTTCACTGTAACACTGTGTACTTACTACTGTTTGCTATAGTACCACCCGTGAACTATTTTCTAAAGGAAGCCAACTTGCTTATATATTCAGACCTCATTCCCCAAAGGAAAAAAAACACACACAACATTTCTCTCAGAATTCCATATCTCTCAAAACCTCTCCAGTTTCTCCAGATCTCTCCAATCCTTCCCTGAAGAAATAAGAGATCATTCATCTCATAACCTTTCCATATCTCTTTCATAACCAGTAAGTCTCATTACTTCCTGGAGATTTTATAACATCCCTGAATCATCTTATATTCCAGATCTTGCTCATGATCTGAGAATACAAAGGCTTTTATATATTTTCGCACTTGCACTTCAATATCTACATTTCAGTTGTAATCTTTCAATACTGTTATTATAATCTTTCCATCTTGTTTAAATAACAGTTATCTCTCTTTAATTTCTTTCTTGCATTTACATTTACATACCCCACAATCGGCAGGTCGAACCACCTGTGGATGGTATGTACTTTACTTTAAAGCAATTTACTACATTCGTTATATATCCTTACTTCTTCTTACCGTTTTGCCCCTTTAATTACTATTTACCAATACCACCTACATGGTTGGTTTAGTGATTCTACTTCTCGTTTTATATGTTGCTTATGGTTTCTTTATAATTTATAATGTTCGCTCTTTTATTTAATTTTATTTATCTCATAGTTTTTTGTGTAGAATTAATCACTTTTATATTAGAATTTATTGTCTCTATAAGTAGAACTAGAAATACTACCATTCCTAGGACCAGATCCTAGGCCACTAATGGTATCAAAGCCAAGGGGTCGATAAAGATATTCTATATAAGATCATTTGCAGTGAAGGCGATTTCCTTCGTGGAGATCTTTTCTATTGATCTATGGATGTGGTCCCGGCAGTAAAACCAGTGGGGTGGTGAGTCCGTTGGTCAGCATCGTCGAGATCAATTGAAAAGAAGAAAGTAGTCTTTTGCAATGAACTTATTAAGAAGATTTGAGTCTTCCTCTAGTTCTTTATCACAAATATCCTCAGACCAAGGACCAGTAAACAGAGAAGAAATTAGCATTGAAGATTTCAATAAATCTATTGAAAATTGGTTCATTCCAAAAATCAAGCTTAATCAAATTTATGAGCATTCAAAGTTTAAACTTTTTGGTCATAATGATTATGTCATTGTTACTGAAGAAAGAGATATACCACTTTCTAATTCCTTTGCTTCAATACAGCTTTTGAACAAAGATTCTATAAAGAAACATTCTCAAAAATGGAATTATATGCATATAGGACTAGTACAGGTTGGTGCAAAAACCCTTACTAAAGAAGGTTTAGATACTTCTTTACTCCTTGTTTT